TTCCAAATGCCCCGCCCAAAGTTGGCAGTCTTCCAAGTTCCAACTAGAGTTAAAGAGATCCCTGAAGCTCATCCTTTTGGCTGGCATCTAGGGAATTTTGTTCTTGATATTTTATTGTTATTCAGTTATATCCAGTGTAATTTTTTAAAAAATTTTAATTTTTATTAAATTTTCTGTTTTATGATTTGGAATGCTCATTTAAACATCCTAAAATATCGGTGACTTCCCTTCTTCTCTTTTCATAGTTTGTTTTGCATGCCATAAATCCCTGCATATTTTACATAAACTAAACCATTCAGTATTCCATTATTACATCCATCAAAACTTTACACTGTTGAATTTATCTTAATGCTGCCAACGTCTTCAAGTGTACACAACTCCCCCCATATATTCAATAAACATTTCCCAGTCTTCTCTAAATGTATGTTCTTCTTGTTCTCTTATTCTATATTAGGTCTGCAAGATGCACATATTCCATCAGCTTAAGTTGCCATTCTGCGTTAGTTGGGACCTTGCTCGGTTTCCATTTTTGGGCTAACGAAACACGGGCTGCAGTAGTGGCGTACATAAGTAACCTTTTTTGACACTTGGGAAATATATCCAGTGTAATTTAACCAGATTCTTTTGGTGGTTCTGCCATTGTTGGAAGTGTGGGGAACGGTGTTCCGGGATTGGGCTTTATCTATGGCAGCCTCTAAATTGTGAAATTCCTTCCTCACAAAGATGCATCTAGCATCTTCATTGAACACCTCTTTACTCTGGCCTTTGCCTGCTAAGGTGGGGGTTTTTTTGGGGTGGAACCCATTTCTTTTACCAAATCTATACTGTTCTGCCTGGTTGGAACAGCATTACTTGTTTTCATAACTGTAACTGTTTTATTTTTTTTATCACACACACACCAGTTGCAGTCTGCCCCCGGGACTTTACGAGAAAGCACGGTCAAGAAATCTCACATAGAAATAAATAAAAAATCGTATTGGCCAGCACCCGGTTTCTATTTTATAAACATCAATAATGTGATGTTAAGATGTTACAGCATCTGGCTGGCGGCTGTGAGAATACCGCATGGGACTTAGATGGGCTGCTGATCTGATTCAACAAAATTCTTCTTCAGTATAACAACAACTAGAACATACGGCATCATCCATTACACAGAGTAGTGCTTTGGGTAAACACAGTTGTCAGTAGTCCACCATGTGTAAAGGGTTTCAAGTGAAGTCCTATTTCAGTATTCCAAGAAAGAAAAGGGAAAAAGACTTGGTTTTGTTTGGCAGAAATGAAGTCTGGTCATGTCCAGTTCCATCCCCAAATGACCACCGATAATTCAGTTACTTGTGCTTGTTTTCAAGGACTCCACTTTGATGGGTGGGTGGGCATTCTTCATTTGGTTGTTTTTGTTTTTTAAATGGTCAATTTTAAAATCACATAAAGGGAATATTTGACAGGTCAGACATGTTGTTGTTGTTTAGTCATTTAGTTGTGTCCGACTCTTCGTGACCCCATGGACCAGAGCAGGCCAGGCACTCTGGTCTTCCACTGCCTCCTGCAGTTTGGTCAAACTCATGTTAGCAGCTTCGAGAACACTGTCCAACCATCTCATCTGCTTCTCCTTGTGCCCTCAATCTTTCCCAACATCAGGGTCTTTTGCAGGGAGTCTTCTCTTCTTATGAGGTGGCCAAAGTATTGGAGCCTCAGCTTCAGGTCAGACATATGGCAGTATATTGATTGGTTTTATGAAATATCAGGAAGGAAGCGTCAGAACAAGAGAAGGAAGCGTCAGTTGGGGCTATTGTCCTAGCTCATGGAGTTATCTGCATGAGTGACATATAAAGGAAAAATTAATAGGACATATCTTCTCTCATAAAGAGAGCTCACATCCATTTCAGAATTGAACAGGACCTCAAAATGTGCACAGCACATAGGCGTTCCTTTGAACAGGGCTTGCTGTTTTGTTGTTTTTTCTCGCGTAGCATGAGCCCAGCTTGCACAAAGTGCACTGACCAGAGATTAAAGCAATGATTTCAGTCATCTCTGCTTCAATTCCCTCCATGATCTTCAGATGGGCTATCCATGTAATTGTTTAAAAAGTGAAGCATGAACATTTGTCATTTAAAAAACTGTTGCAACATTTCTCTGCAGGTGGGATGTGGGTTTGTGATGTTGCAAGTACTAGCCAATCAGTGGTGTTCACAGCTGGTTTCTACTGAAAACTTGTAGCAGCTGTCCTTTGAGTTAGCTGGCAAAGTGCATCTGAAATGGTTAAACCATTAAAACAATGTGCATCCATGTGCACTGAAAGCCAGAGCTCACCACTGCATTTATCTCCAAAGAACTCTTAACAGGACAGCAAATGGCAGCCACAAATGTGCACTATGATGCTAACAGCAGCTCTTTTCAAATTACACTTTTCACCCAGGAGTTTTGAAGTTCCGAAACATCAGTGGCAATCTTTTACACCTACATTTCAGGAGGTGAGAATGTACAGATTTCTCTGGCCTGCAAATTGCTTTCAATCCACCTTTCAACATCACAGGTCAGCAGTTTATTTTACAGAGCTAAGGAATAAAAGTGCTTCTATATAATGTTGGCATGTTTCCTTTATGCTAATTAGCTGCTATGCTTTTCTTCCAGCTTTAAACATTTTTCATTTAAGCTTACCTGTTATTTCATAACAGATGCCTTGGGTTTCTTTTCATTGGAAAACCAGGCAGCATTTGAACACACCAGGGACATATGTTTTACATCAAGGATGGAGAATCTGGGGCTGCCCAGATGTTTCTGGAGTCCAGCTTCCATCAGCTTCAGCCAGCAAAGTCAATCATCAAGGGATGTTGGGAAGTGGTGTGCAATCCTGCTCTTCATACTTTTGATGGCACAAGCAGATAACATGTGGAAGGTGTGGGTCTGTCAGGTAGCTTGATCCCAAGCTGTTTAGCAGGTCAAAGGCTGCACCAACAATTTTAACAGAGCCAGGAATGGACTGGGAGCCAATGCAGCTGACAAAGCCCAGGCATAAAATGGTCAAAATGCTTCGTCCCATTCTGGCTCGCACTCTTTATAAAGATTTCAGGAGGGAGGTTATTATTATTGGTTCATGAGGGAAGAGGTCAGGAGAACCCCTAGAACATAATGTAGGGTAGATTGTTCCACCTGGCAATGCTTCGCCCTGATGGAATGATGGACATAATGTGATGTTGAATTCTTTCCCATGTTTTTAATTGTCCATGCCTTTATATGCAATTGGCAGCAGAAATGCCACACAAAAATTATATTATGAATACAGGGGGGGGGGAGAGAGCTAGATTTGAAGCTGTTTTCTGGGGTTCGGGTGGGAAAAAGGCACACATTATTCCATCTAAAGGGTGGTAGCCAACTAACAGGTAAAGGTAAAGGGTCCCTGGACAGTGAAGTCCAGTCAAATTTGACTATGGGGTTGTGGCACTCATCTCGCTTTCAGGCTGAGGGTGCCGGCGTTGGTTTGCAGACAGTTTTTCTGGATCATGTGCAATGAGACACTGTGACGGAAGCCGGAGCGCATGGAAATGCCATTTACCTACCTATTTATCTATTCACACTGGTATGCTTTTGAACTGCTAGGTTGGCAGGAGCTGGCACAAGGCAACGGGAGCTCACTCCATCACACACTTGAACTGCTGACCTTACGATTGGCAAGCCTGAGAGGCTCAGTGGTTTATAGGACCACAGGGCCACCCAAGTCCCCAGCCAACTAATACATCCCATCAGCACAAGGATTCCTGCTTGCATAATGGAATTCCCACCCCTATGTCTCCCCCTTAAATCTCCTCTAGGGGTTCTCCCAACCCTCTGGAGCAGATTTGGAGATATCATGGGGTGTGTGTGATGGAGGAAAGGGAGAAAGTTCCATTGCACAAGTGCAAATCCATGCACTGATGGGACTCATTAGTTGGATACCATTGAACACTCCTGATCCAAGTGTCCAGGGCAGACCAGCTGAACACTGATGTTCACCCTGTTGCTGTATACATCCTTTCATAGAATTATAAAATTGTAGAGTTGGGATGGACCCTGTGGGCAATCTAGTCCAACCCCCTTGCAATACAGGAATCTCATATTTTTGAGCCACCAACAGTGCAAGCGTTCAAGTGTTATTTGTCCCCCATAGATGGTAGCAGTGTGACAGCAGAGACCAGGGGCATGGGCTCTTTGCTACCTGATCTTTTCTCACTGGAGATGTTAGGAATCAAACCTTGACCTTCTGCATTGAAAGCATGTGATGTGCTACTGAGCTACATAACCACTGAGAAGGGATCGGCAATACGTCCCTTGTATGTGATAGGACACCCAACAAACTGCTTTCTTGCTGGTTTATTGTAGCCCTCTGTATGCTCAGAGGCATAAAGGAAGGGGAGTACATCTCTATCCAGGGTTATTCTGCTAGAGCAGGAGCAATGATGTCATCTGCCGGAACGCCAGGGTAACTGATGGCGTTCTCCTTGCTCTGGCAAGTGAATGTGATGACAATGAGACTCTCGAGTTTGTTGATAATAGATTAGCTTAGAGGAAGTCGGAGAATGAGGGAAAAAAATCAAGCAGGGGCTGTATACTTTCCTTTGACAGCGTTCCTCCTTCGTACTGGCAGTCGAAATGGCAACACCTCTTTGCAAGATTGCATTTCTAATTTAAAAAGCCTGCATTTCTAATTAAAAGCTAAAAGGTTATGCTTCGACTGGCTGAAGATCTCTTGCTAGAGCTGAATGTGCAGAATTCAACGTTGTCTTGTTACAAACGTTCTGTATGCTTGCCACATGGAATGTTATTCCCCCTCCTCTTGTGCAATAATCCCAATCCTACCCAGCCAAGTTTGGGGGGGGGCACGGGGAGAGGAGAGTGGGGAAGCCCCATTATGCAAGCAGAAGCCCTTGCCCAATGCCTTTTGAACCCATGCAGGCAGCGGTAAGTGGAGCCAGGAAGTGCTGGTGCTTCCTTCCGGAATGCAATCTTGCTGCTCCCAAGAAATAGGGTGTTGTACTTTGTACTGCTGCTCTTTGGCGTGTGATAATAATAATGGACCAACACAGTGGCTTGCATTTTTGGATTCTCCATGAGAGCATAGCTATGGGACTCACTTTGTGGGGGGATGCTTAGGATGGCTGTCATGGTGAGCTTTGGCACTTCGAAATTCACCACCATATCACTGCATATGCTGTTGTTGCTTCTGTGCTCAATTACGGATTTCTACTCTGCTTCGTCCCTGAGCAAAGCCAAAGGAGAAATGAGAGCCCCAGGACAGGGTGCCTAAACACCAGTGGATAAAGGTTGCAGTCAGCTATTAGGACAACCTAGAAATACAGGGTCCTAAGGAGCAGCTTAGGTCCAAAGGTAGGTGAGGTCATAAGGGGAAGTGTGACATTGCACATGAAGCAATGTAGAACTAGGTAGGTTTTCAAAAGCAAAATATTAGCAGGGGTCAGTAGCACAGGATCAGTCAGGGGAGGTAGCCAGAAGAATAAACTGGGTTGTTAAAGACCTGGGCTTATACTCTTATACTCTTCAGCTAGCTGAGAGGAGCTTATGCAACCTGGTTGCCTGGATTCAGCCTTCAAGGTTTCTTCATTCTGAAGAGGCCTCTTATTCCCAAAGAGCCTGGTTCTTCTGGACCTTGAGACATACGAAGTCTTCTGACCCGGGCATTCCCTGAGGAGTCAACCTCCTCCATCTGTTCTGCAGGTGCGAGAGCCACTGTGGTCCACTCAGGATCCTCCTCCATGGGTCTCCTGCTGCGGATGGGCCTGCTGTCACTTCTCTGGAGATGCTGGCTATGCCTGGCATAGTGCTGGAATCAGGAGGCCCCATAAAGTCTTGGTCATTTCTGTCATTGGGGAATCATCATTAGGGTTTTCATCTAAGGAGGAGTCATCCTGGCTCAGGGATGTCAAAGCAGCCAGAAAAGCAGAGAGAGAGAGAGAGAGAGAGAGAGAGGGAGAAATCATCTACAATTTAGTCCTGGCAATTGTCAGCCATAATAAGCACTGCCTGATAATTTCACTGCATCCACAAACAGAAGAGCTAAAACGAACAGTGAGCTTCGCCACCCCAGTTGTTACTTAATAGCCTGTTTATTTGTAACAAAAGGCCTTATTAGTGCAGAGTTTCCCAAAGCATTAATAAAAACAACATACCGCACAGCCTCTTCTGCATACATTGACTCATTTGTTTGAACGGGGAAACTTTCAGGTCTACTACTTTTCTTTTCTTTTTGAAAAAAAGGTACCTTCATTAGCATCTTTAAACAATAATATTCAGGTTAGGTTGATGATACCATTTGTCAAGCATGGCTTATTTATCTTAATGAAGACAGGCCAAATAAGAAATAAATCGCTTTGAAATAATGCACATGGATGAGCGTGAAGTTTGTTAATAATGTGGGATACTCAAGTGACCCTTTCACTGAAGAAATGGTGCACATATTCCAGTCAACTCTTTAGCAGGAACCCCTGGTCTAATAGACTGACAAAACAGAAGTTAAAGTAGAAGTATATTTGCATTTAATGCACAGGTTCTTCTTTAAATGCAAATTGCATCAGCTGTGTGTGTGTGTGCACGCACATAGATTCATAGAATTGTAAAGTTCGAAGGGACCATGAGGGTTGTCTAATCCAACCCCCTGCAATGCAGGAATATGCAGTTGTCCCATATGGGGATTGAACCTGGACATGTAATAATAATAATAATAATAATAATAATAATAATAATAATAAATTTATTTATATGTCGTCCATCTGACTGGGTTGCCCAGCCACTGTGGGCAGCTCCTAACAGACTATTAAAAACACAATGTGATAATTATCTGAATTTAATTTAACCCTTTATTACCTTGCTATGTTCCTAATGAATAGATCCCTTCTCTGAAGGTGGTATTAGCCTTGGGAGGGAAATCTCCCATTTCTGTCAGTGGGAGACTTTCTTCCACTACAGCAGCTTCTGGGGACAGATTTTCCTCAAGACTACAGCAGGGAAGGGAAGGTTTAACATATCTCTCTCACCCATGTGAGAAATGCATGTGGCATTTCTGAGGGTTTTATTTATGTAGTTGTACACTCCGCTCTTCCATAAGTGAAATCCCAGCATGAGAATTGTTGTATCTATATCATGAGCTCAGATTTAGCAGGGTTTGTTATTCTGTCAGGAGGCTGCCAGCAACTCCCACAGCCAGTTGCCCAGGAACGTACAAAGACAAGGAAATGCTTCTTAACGTCCGCTTTTTATTCAGTATTTACAGAGAGAGGCTTTAGAACCCAGCTTTTTGAATAATGGCATTGTCCCTAGTGTCTGTCCCCCTGTCTCTCCCACTTCCTCATTAGTCATTCTCATCTGCTCTATGGGTGTGGACAAGCGCCCTCTGCCTTTGAGCTATTTGCTCTCCTACTTTCAAGGCTCACCAGGTTCTGGGAGAGGGGTGGGGTCTGGAATGCTTTCTAAAGACACTGTGTCTGCCAGCTGTCACCCCCTGGTGCTTCCTCTTCCTCCTCCTCCTCTCCCATTATTTCCCAACTTTCCCCCTCATCTTCCTCTGAGCTGTGACCTCCCTCAACCCCCTGCTGTAATTCTGAACTGTCTTCTTCTTCTCTAGAAGGGTCAGGCTGGGGAGGCGGTCTCCACCATTCCTCCTCTGCCCAGTCCCTGGCATATTCTAGGGCAATAATGCACTGCTTTTCCACCCACAATCCCAGATGTCAGCGTCAGATTTAGGGTGGTGCAGGAGGTTCCCTGCACAGAGCACTGAGCTGAGTGGATGGAAAATTGAGAAGATCCATAATTGAGAAGATCCATTTGGAGGTGCCAAATTTGGGCTTTGCACAGGGTGTCATATTTTGAAAGACAACCCAAGTCCAACCCTGTAAACGTCCCTGAAACCTGTTTCCCCCTCCGGGTCTCCTTAAGCTCCTCAAAACACCTTATACAAGTCGGAGAGCTTTTCTTTCTTTTTTTAAAGATGCGGGCTGTTCCTTTTTAAACAAACAACAACAAAAGCCACCTTACTCAACTGCAATTTAGAAGAATGGACCACAGATGCTGGCATTCTTTTACACACTCTTGGCAGCATGTTGACTTTGCTCGGGATTCATTTCCCTCTCATGCAAGTGGAACAAGAAGACAATCTGGTCCCACTCCCAGAAGATGAGTCACAGACTGAGAGCAATGCAGGAACCGTACTCTTCCCCCCACTTTGGCTGCTGCCGTCTAATTCCGCAAAAGAAGCTCATTCTTCTTTTCAACATTATGCCCAGTACTTTTGATTTCAACCATGATTTAGTTATTTACTTATTAGTTCTTTGTACTTATAGTTCACCCTTCATTAAATGGTCCCTGGGCAAATTGCAAAAAATAAAAAAAAAAATACCACAGTTGTAAGAAATTCAATGTACAGTGGTACCTCGGGTTAAGTACTTAATTCGTTCGGGAGGTCCATTCTTAACCTGAAACCGTTCTTAACCTGAAGCACCACTTTAGCTAATGGGTCCTGCTGCCGCTGCACCATCGAAGCACGATTTCTGTTCTCATCCTGAAGCAAAGTTCTTAACCCGAGGTAATATTTCTGGGTTAGCGGAGTGTGTAACCTGAAGCGTATGTAACCTGAAGTGTATGTAACCCGAGGTACCACTGTACAATTAATTTTTTTAAAAAACACACCCACACCTACACCCCTGATATCAGAGTAACAAAACAGTAGCACATAACTGCTGTGTGCAGCAATGTAAGAGAAGGGGAGATACCCATTCAAGCAAAGGTCTGGGTAAAGAGGTGCATCTTGACCAATTATTGAAAAGCATACAGTGGCGGCAGCCAAGAAACAGTTTTGGAGCAAGGTCATTCCATAACCTGAGGGCCACCACAGAGAAGGTCCTTTCACATGCTGCCACCTTTCAAACCACAGAAAGTGGGGGTATAGCTCAGTGGTAGAGCATTTGACTGCAAACCACAGAAGGTGGTGTCACTACGAAGAGATTGTAAGAACTGGGCAGGTCAGCATGGAAGGGCCCTCATAAAGACAACTTTCCTCTCTGGGAGCATCTCTCTCTCTCTCTCTCTCTCTCTCTCTCTCTCTCTCTCTCGGAGATCCTAAAACACCCTATAGGGATGCCATCCCAGGGTCTATAGGACTGCAGCCTTAGTCAGTTAAGATGAGTAGAAAGAAAATTAGTATTGAACGTGCTAATTCCCTTCTGCATTTTTCAGATTGTTTGGTACTATGCTTTAAAAAATTGCCGTTCTTCATTGATGTGAATAGGTAAATCTTCTGCTGATAGAGCTCTATTAAGGGTGTATGGCAGGCTTCCTCAAACTTGGCCCTCCAGATGTTTTTGACCTACATCTCCCATGATCCCTAGCTAGCAGGACCAGTGGTCAGGGATGATGGGAATTGTAGTCTCAAAACATTTGGAGGACCAAGTTTGAGGAAGCCTGGTGTATGGTTTAAGAACATGATAAAGTAGGCACAGTGTTGTGCAACCATTGCTTCTGTTATGCAAGTAGCCACCTGACCAAGATGTTGTAGACTACAACTCCCATCAGCCCCAGTTAGCATCGTCAATGGTCAGGGTTGATGAAAGTTGTAGTATAATCACTTCTGGATCCCTGGGCTATTAAAGTTTCACTAAACAGAGAGATGATTACATGCCCTTGAATATGCTAACAGTTCTAGGAACCATGTGATTGATTAATTACTCTCATTTAGGAAGTTGGTTCTCATTTCAGTAAAGTGAGGGAGATACAGAGCAAGGCTTCAGATTGTATCATGGTTTCAACACAGCATCCACAACTGAGGGGCTTTTCATAGGATTGTGTGTGAAGCTGTCTCAAAATGGCTTCTTTATTTAGCAACAGTCAAGCCACTAGAACATTGCCTTTCATATGCTGGATTGGCTCTGATTTGCATAACAATACAACGGAATCACAATTAGAGTCATAATGATGGCAAATGAAGAAAAAAATAAAGGAGAGGTATGCAGATTAATCCTTATTAAATGTCTTTGCTACAATATGCTTTATAACTTTGGGATTTCATCTAAATTTACCCGAGCGTAAAATACAGCATGGCATGGATAAAATAATTACTTACAAAGGCTCTCAAGGAATATGTTAAAGATAACACGCAACATATTGACTATAGTATATCTAGATCGCGCAATTCCTGTTCCGTTCCTGGTTTGAGTTTCTGATGGGCCAATTCATCTGAATTATGACAATTCAGAAATGTTTCTTTGGGCTGAAATGAGAACAGAAAAGCCTGGGATCTTATTAACTTTTTAAAATGTTCATAGCCACCTTTTTGTTTGAAGAAATATCTAAGGTAGATAAATAACATTGACAAATTAATAGCGTGACATGAGAATTAAAAGCTTAAAACCGGGGTCAGCATCCTTTATTAGCCATGGGCCGGTCCACTGTCCCTCAGACCATGTGGAGGGCTGGACTATATTTTTTGGGGAGAAATGAATGAATTCCTATGCCCCACAAATAACCCTGAGATGCATTTTAAATAAAAGCACACATTCTACTCATGTAAAAACACCAGGCAGGCCCCACAAATAACCCAGAGATGCATTTTAAATAAAAGCACAAATTCCACTCATGTAAAAACACCAGGCAGGCCCCACAAATAACCCAGAGATGCATTTTAAATAAAAGGACACATTCTTCTCATGTAAAAACACACTGATTCCTGGACCGTCTGCCGGCCAGATTGAGAAGGCGATTGGGCCACAACTGGCCCACGGGCCTTAGGTTGCCTACCCCGGCTTAAAACAAAACAAAATGGATCCCAAATTAATCAGTAGTAAACAAACAAGCAATAACCCAGCAATTTAAAAACGTTCTATGTTAAAGCCCATCAAAGGCCTGATAATTAAAACCACTGTTGTCTACAGGATGTTAAAGTTAGTGCCTTTGACTTGATCTAGCAGCCAGGTTCTTATGATGTTCTTAATACAAGCAATAAGTGCGATTTCAGATTTCAGGTGAGGAATCTTGGTATTACAAAAGCCTTCCTGCTAACAGATAATCTGCATGCAAGGGATGAATGTTTTTGCCTAGCCTTCTTCCCGATCTGATACACGTCTATGTGCAGAAATATATATATATATATATATATATATATATATATATATATATATGTAGGAGCGTGTATAAACTTGTGTGATTCCCTAGGCATGAAGTACAGCTCAGGAAGACCTGAACCACATGAGTCTCCAGGCTTGGGTAGCTTGTTCTCTAATACTTCAAGTATTAAATAATTGCTTCGGCAGGAAAGTGTGAAAGAACGTTGTCAGCTAATTAGTACATCTTAATTGTGTGTTTCATCCGGGTGAACTTTTTATAATGAGACAGGAAATGGTGGGCAACTATGGTTTGTTTTTCTTTAGGACCAGATAGACCATTGATCATCTAGAATCGCACCGGTATCTGCAGTGGTTTTGATGGTGTTGTGATTTAACTTCTAAACATCAAGGAGTTTAAGGTGGGAGGGAAGAGAGGGAGGAGACTGATGTTGGAGGAGTGCTAATTATCCCCTTGGGAAGTGGTACTTGCTCATTGTGGGAGGCTGGGGAGGAACAATTTTCCTGCAATCAAGATTTCCCTCCAGAGAGCCTAATAAAAGGGATGAGATTATTTTGGGAGCAATCATCCTCTTGAATATGTAATACCGATTTTGATTCTGCCTTGTACATCCTACAACTGTTTTGTGGATTCTGTTAATGAGAAGATTATATTTCCATACAGGCCTTGATTGAAGTGCATTTCCATAAGTTAGGGGTTGTTGTTGTTTTTTTGGAGAAGATGGGCAAGGATGGAGAAAATGAGATAAAACAAGAAGTTTTTAAAAAAAGTTTCCATAAGTTGATATTTAATTTGTATCAAGAACAGCTTTGTATGTTAGCCACAACATTGTGAAGCACAGGAGTAAGCCCTTGCACAGTGCTGTTTTTAAAAAGAAAAAGCACCCCTCCTTTTACTATTCCAGAAGAACTTGCACAGGGGAAACGTGTAAGCTTCAGCCACAAGTTGTGAGGGCACATCTGCACTATATATTTAACAGTCATGGCTCTCCACCCACAAAATCTGGGCGATTGTAATTTGTTAAGCGTGCTGAAAGTTTTTAGCAGATACCTATTCTTCCTCCCATAGCTACAATTCTCAGAGTTCCCTGCAAAGAGGGATTGGTTGTTAAACAACTCTGGAAATTGATGATAGCATCTTTTAAACTGCAGTTCCCATTATTATTTGGGAGGAAGTCACACCACTGTTTAAGGCAGTATAAGAGTGTTTTAAATGTATGGTGTGGATTTTGACTTAATATGAGGAGGGTTTTCTTTAGATAGTAATGTATATTATTTTGTTTACTTCAAAATGTGGCAAGCCAGTGATGCTGCGTGTGGTGCAGCACGGTGCTGAAACATTTCAAATGGTTTCTTCCCCACAAAAGTGGCTTCTTCATTCACAGGGTGCTGCTTTAGAATTTCAGTGTGTTTGGGGGATTGAGCTCCCTTTATCACTGCAAAGGGTCCAAGGCTGGTGGGTGTGCTTCTCTTTATAGTAAACATTTGTCCAGTGCTTTGCAGCCTCCCTGGCTGCCTGTGCTTCCAAGTCTGGAAAAAAAATCCACGTGGGTGGAGTTACCTCATAACATTTCCCCCTTGAATTTCAATTGAAACGTTGAAAACTGGCTACCAAGTGCCTGGGGGGTGGGTGGGTTGTTTTTTTTTACCTATGTCATTTTAAACTCTGATATGAATGGTGTATTCTTAGTCTTAGATTTTGATTTATGTGGAAATTGTTTCCCATTTGGTTGTGTATTTTTTTTGATGTGGTTTATTTATTGTTTATGCCTTTGTAATTATGTAAATCTTGTTATGCTGTAAGCCGCCTTGAGCATTGTTTTTTTAACTGTGGAAAGGCGGCATACAAATAAAAAATGATGATGATGATGAGATCTTTGCGCTTTCTTTTACCTATCACCTGCATTTATTTCACTTAAAAGCAAGCAACGGCCAACTGTCAAATGCATGATGGAGGACTTTCCTAACCTCCTGCACTAAGATGTTGTGCTGTTTTCTGGGATGGTGGGCACCTGGGAGGGCTGCAAAGTGTGGACTGCAAGACAGATTATTTCCAGAATGAAAGAAATTACACTTGCATCTCCCCTTTGCAAACTCAAAAGTAAACTGATCACTGAAAGACACCCATGCAAGAGAATTTCATCAACGTTTTCTCTCCCCTCTAATGATTTTTTGAATGCAGTTTGTTTTCTCATTAACCAGTGGTGAATCATTTTTTAAAAAATGAAGAAATCTTTGGCACAGTACTAGCTGTGTTTAGAGGCTCTCCTGCTCATTCAGCTCAGCGGTCCCTAGATGTCTGCCCTAAAGTCCTACACTGATGGCACCATGTGAGTTATCTGAACCATGGAAGAAAGATGCAGCCGCCCACCTGTTTGCTTCTGCTCCTGGTTACACACAAAATAATCCCAAACTAGTAGCCATGATGATACAGTGATGGCACAGCTGTGAGAAAAATGACAATTAAATGAAATAACAAAATGAAATTCTTCTTGGTTATAACTAGGTTTGATAGGCAGTCAGAAGAGCAGGTTAGCTTTACAGCACGGATTATTATTATTAATTAAATTTGTATATCACCCTTCTTTCGTAGATCTCAGGCCATTTCACAACATAAAAGATAACAGAATAGGAAGTCCTGATCTGTTCAGTGCTTGTGGAATTCTCTCCCGAAAAGATATGTTTGATTCCCCACTCTACTGGCTTTTAAACAGAGCCTGAATAATTTCTTATGATTTGAGATTTCTTTTTAATATTGGTGCTCCATTTTGATTTAATTGCTGTGTTTCAATATAGTCATACTTCAATGTTTTACAGTATATGTCATGTTTTGGTCAGTTTTATGGCTTTTTATGTAAGCCTCTGGGGGGGATATAAATGGTGGCATATAAATTCTTGTAGCAGATAGAGTTTTGGATTTGGACAACTATGGATCCAATCTCTGAGCATCCAAGTGACTTCATGCCAACCTCACCCGGATCTTCTTGTTAGGGAGCAGCTGTTTTGAGGGTAAACATGGGATTACATCTCTCTCATACAAATCTGGGTTACTTGGAGGAAAAGCAGGACTAGGGGTACCCGAATGCCCTTTGGGAATGGTAGGGTAGAAAGCAGGGCAGGCAATAGTGGGCAGAGTCAGTGAAAGTGACAGGCAGAGCCCACTAATTTTAGAATTGTCCCCATCCTCCCCCAGCTGAGTTCTACAAGGGCAACACTTAGACTAAGAAGGGAGGGTGTTGACAGACATGGTCTGGTTCTAAGTAAAAAGTGAGACTAGTTGAGGATGGACTGAGATGGATGGGGGAAGGACCAACCTTCTCTGAGCAGGAGAAATCACACTGAGATACCTGGAAAACAATGGCATCTTCTGATTAAGTGGAGCTTGGAAGTCCCACAAGACTTTTTCTTTTACTGCTCAATTGGGGGGGGGGGCTGTGTAGGGCTAGCAGCTTCACTTCCTTGATGGTTTCTTGGTATGTCTGAGAACAGGGACAGTCTCCTGCGGTAAAGCTGTCATGTATCTCTTCCAGAGATTGTTCAAGTAGGAGTAAATGTCATGATAATCATGCTGTTTTCATAGATCTGCAGTAAGTTATGTGTTATATATATATTCATGTGAAACTCTTCACTTCCAGTTGCAGTTAAGCATATGTTCCAGATTAGAAAAGCTTCCTATCTGCTCTTTGAAAACGCTTTCCCCATCCCTCACCCTGTCCTTTGAAGATGTTTGCTAAATCTGAGGAAGTCAACGTTTCCCACATTTTTACTAAGATAAGCTTAGATGCTTTGCGTGTGACCTGAGCAAATTACAGAGAAGCCAAGCAACACCAGGTGAATTTGCACATTGTTCGGGGGGGGGGGCGACTAACCCTGTGTGTGTGTAGAAACTGAATATTTTATCTTTTGCAAGTTGTAATAATAATAAAAATGATAAGCATTTGCCTGACTTTTGCCCACTCAGTAGGATGGATACTACACAATTCTTATTTTTGCTTCCCCTTTATTTATTTCCCCTCCCCCTTATCTTATAAGGAGAAAACACATGTAGAGCTGGAGATAAGAAATGCTATTTCGTTCATAATTGGAAATATTTGACTCTGCCTCTCTCCCCTCCGCCCTGGGCCATGGCTCAGTGGTGCAGCATCTAACTTGGGTATAACACTGCTTTGATCTTAAAGGAAGAGTAAAGGAAAGAAATGTTTTTAGTACTGAAAATGAAGAGAATATCAAAATGAAGAAAACATCTCTTCTACCCCAATGTCACTACATATGCACTGTACAGTGGACGCTCGGGTTGCGAATGTGATCTGTGCGGGATGCACGTTCGCAACCTGCAGCGTTCGCAACCCGCAGAGGCGCATCTGCGCACGCGCGGGTTGCGATTTGGTGCTTCTGCACATGCGCAAAGTGCGATTTAGCACTTCTGTGCATGCGTGACCCCCCAAACCCGATAGTAACCCGTTCAGGTACTTCTGGGTTTTGGAGGGTCCGTAACCCAAAAAAACACAACCTGAAGCGTCTGTAACCCGAGGTATGACTGTACATTTAAAGCAGTATGATACCACTTTAAGCCAAAATGGTTTCCCCTGAAGAATCCTGAGAGCTGTAGTTTGTTAAGGGTGCAATGAGTTGTTAGGAGATCCCTGTTATCTCCCACCCCCCCGCCCCCCAGAGATATGGTTCTCAGAGTTGTTTAACAATAAATTCCTCTTCCCAGGGGACTCTGGCTAACTGTAGCTCTGAGAGGAATCATGGCCTGTGAAGAATTCTTAGCAGCCCTATCAAATCAGGATTATTTTGTGAGGAAACCATTTCTGAGGTATGATACTGCCTCAAATGCATAGTGCAGCTGGGACCACAGTGGCAACGAGTGGAACAAATGAATAGCCCACCAGCAAACCACTGCATGAGTCGGTTTCTAATAGGAGAGATGAAAGTTGTATCCTACCACCTGCCAGGGGCAGGGTGGAGACAATAGCAAGACTGCCACATCATTTGTCGTTGCCCACCTGGTTAAAAATTCCTCATAGGAGCGCCAGCAATGGGAGGATGAGGGTGCACGGCAACTCCTAAAGAATGTCAGATAATTCGGAAAATGAAAAAAAAGTGCTGCCTCCAGTACTAACTATCTAGAAAGGCATGAGGGGAAATGAAGTGGTTTGTGAAGGGGATAAAACATAAGCCTAACCTCTCGCAGCTCTGAACTGAAAAGGATTTCATCCTATTCAAACTAATGCTGTGCTGGAGATTTCTGCCAGGCCCACCCTTCACCACGGCCTCAACCATTCTCCATCAATTAATGAGAAAAGAAACTCCATTTGAAAATAATGAAAGGGGAGGGAAATGTTTGGAGAAATTCAAGAGGGAAGGACGCCGGGTTTTTGTCATGTTTACCTCGCTCTCGAAGTTGGTGGGGAGTGTTTGTGCCTGACCTGTCTTTGTCTACAAATCATCTCACCAGTGGTCTCTGCTGTAAACAAAAATTGCCCCTTTCCCTTATGGGGTATCCAAGAGCCCATATAGAGTCCTTACGTAGGTTCCCTATTGGTAGGAGAAAATAACAGAGGCCAACCAGAGAATATTGAGAAGCAAAGCAGCTAGTAAGCTTGAGCTTTATTGATCTGTTGCAACAGGGTGCTCCCCTCACCCGCAGGAGAGGAGGAGGAACCTAGAACAATGGCGTGCAAGGCCTTATAAAGACTTTTGAAATTGCCACCCTGTAGATCAAGACCACCCCCAGAAACATCATACATAAATCACAGAAGGGGTGTAACCTAAGACCACCCCTCAGATACATCATACCTACATCACAGAAAAGGTGGTCTAAAACAGAAATTTGAATGTTGTTTTTCTCCTGTCGTTGTTTATCTCCTGTCTGGCAGGTTACTTGATTGGATTGCCTGGGGAGCCTGGCGAGTCTTTTGTAATCATAAATACTTAGTTCCTGGGCCATGTCACAGGCTCACACCCTATCCAAACACAGACATACCCTTAAGACAGGATTTGTGAGGAAAGAGACAATGGGGAGGTTTCCCACTTTGACCTTACAGAGAAAACATTTGCTCAGTTTAGTAATCAAAATGGTTCCAGGTTGGTCTTCCTGTGCTGATCTATGTACGTGCTTGGTTGGTACACATATGAACATTACCATATATCTAAGACCATAAAATTCCTATCACATCTGCACTCTGTGGTCTTCCCAGGTGCCCAGACTTCAGTTTAAGCCCAGGGCAAAATGTCACGAGGCCGCTGTTTTCATGGGGCGTTTTCAGATCGTGAAAGACGGGCATCCAGGGAGGCTGCAGGGTGCTGGAGAAGTGTTTACTGGAAAGGAAAAAGACACTTACACCACCCTTAGGCACCTCACGATAGTAAGGTAAGCGTGATACATCACACCCACCTAAGTTCTAAAGTACTCTAGGGAAGGGTCAGAAAAATGGAAACCTCTTTTACAGGGGGGGTGGAGTCTGAGAGATTGGAGAACAGACTTCAGCAGATCACTAGACTTGCCAGGTCACTTGCTGCACTGGCTTCCTGGCAGAGGAGTTGCTGTTGCTTATCAGAAGGGAGAGCAGGTGGTCAATACAGTGCAAACAAACTGGTGCAGGCATCTCGGGTATTTCTGCTTCTGTGTTTGCACTACGCTGACCTTCCTGCCATCTCACTCCTCTCACTCCTGGTAAACAACAGCAACACAACTGCAGGAACCTAATGTATTATCTCAGTGAGATGCTTCTGTTCAACTTCTTTTCCAGTCCTGTCCAGAATGCTTAGTCAGATGTAGTTCACTAAGTTCAGGGGAGCTTACTCTCACATAGGTGAGCATAAGATCACAGCCCATCAAACCCCTTCCTTTCCACCATTCTGGGAATTTCTTCGAAAAGATGCCCAAAGAAGAAGTAGACATGATATTCTAGGAATTAATATATTAACAGAAAGGAAACGGTCAAGGGAGAACGTTATTTAAAATAGCGCTCAGAGCACATTGGCTCAGATGTCCAAACTACCTCAAAAAGGTTAATTAGCCGTCCTGAATTAAACAAAATATTTTTGTTGTTGTTATTGTTAGCCTGGTAGAAAGAAAATCTGTTCCTTAGTGGGAGAGCAAGTGTGTTTGTGTTTGGAGCATTCTGAAGGAAAAGAAAATATCTGAATTTATGCTGGAGAAGTGTGAAAACTGTAGGAGGGGATGGAAAAAGGAGAGTATTCAGAGATATTTTGGCTAAAGAGGCATTAATAACCCAATAACAGAACACTCTTCATGTTAGGAAAAAGGTAAATCTGAGAGAACTTGCAAATGGGTGGGGGATAAATAATATTTTTATTATTATTATCTGTAGAAATGAACTCCTGTGCATATTTAAAAACAACTGCAATGGGCAGGAGGGACTGATCCCCACCTGGCAGCAGTGGGGCAGGACAAAAAGCAGGCCAGGGTGGAAGCTGGTGGGGGGACAAGCGAAATCTTGCTTTGTGCTATGTCCACCTCAAGTTGCCATAGCAATTGGGCTTGATGGCATCAAGTGATGGCAGTAGGTTGGGATCAGGATCCAGTGGAGATTTCTTGAGGGCTTTCTGTGGATTACTGCCAGTGGCAATTCCACTGGCATGACTTCCACCCACACTTCAGTGGGTGGAGCAGAGAGTTATTCCAGAGGAGGAAAACAGAGGTGGAAGCCAGCTGGACTGTTTTGGGATGAATGGACAGAAACATCTGCCTGCTCAGCCCTCCTGCTTCCCAAGTGTGGTGGCTTGATGGTTTGGGACGAGACCTTAATCTATTTGAAGACCTCCCCCCCAAAAAAGAATACATTAACAGACTTGATTAGCGGACATTACATGGAGCACTTGATTCCAACATAGCCACCAATTTTTGACTTCCATATTCTTGTCAGTGATCAAGTTCCTCAAAAGCATAGCACATAATATATCTACAATCATTTTGGAGCACTCTGTCCTTTCCAGGCTATGAGCAAATCCTCAAGGGAACTGAAAATGAAAGGTTTTGAACCAGGATAACCACCCTCATGTAAGTTAGAAAAGAGGAGCTATAACTTTGTCTTGAATTTATTTTATTTTTTTTAAAAAGTGGGGGCAATAATAATAATAATAACAATCATGAATTTCCTGGAACATTTCATATGTTAAATTGGTATTTCTCAAAATTAGCTTTCCTGAGGGCAGTATTATATTAACGTAATGAATGGGTGGTAAGAGGGAAGACAATTATTTTAATGGGAGAGTAGGATGAAGAGAGAGAAATCTTTTACTGAATAAGATCCTTCAGGGAATGATGCACATATTATGGAGAGAATTAGAACAGATACAGATGAATACATTTCCCACTGTGCCATCTTACGCAATCATTGCACAGTGGGAATGTTTTCCTGTACAAAAAATAAAATAAAATCCTGGCACATAGAAAGGTGGATGTCAAATGAGAAAGGTTCTAATCTAGCTTCCTCCATGACACACTAGTTTTCTGTACAGAGGGACTTTTCCCCCCATCGGGGAGCATTGTGTATTATGAAAGAGCACAATCTAGGAATCATTGTATCGTGATCAATTATGGTTGGTCTAGAAGAGAACTGAATTGCATGAGCAGACCTAATGCATGATGATTCAAGGGCTTGTCACCCACCTGACCTGCCGCTCACTTACTGCCGGGCCTGAAGGTTGTGTAACCTTCCATGCTTGGCTCCCATGAACGGCTGTTGGCTACTTGCTTGCCTCCACCAACTGCCTCCCTATCTTGCCTGGGCTATGGGCATCCTCTTCTGAGCTAGGCATTTTGAACAAGGTGGCCAGAAAAATGCCCTGGTGGTTAGAAAAGTTTTTTAATCTTACATTTTTAAAAAATATATAAAAAAATCTCTTTTTTTAAAAAAACTAAGTTTTTAAAAATCCACGGCAATTCACAACAGTGGCACAGGCATTCTCCTGGCCCTCTCACCCAGAATGTCTGAATTTGAAGGAAGACATTTTTGGCCTTTTCTCAGAGCCCATGTGCCATAAGCAGTGGGGAAGCTGTCAGCATTATGTTGGCTATCACAGCACAGGTATATGTTGTTGTTGTTGTTGTTTAGTCATTTAGTCGTGTCTGACTCTTCGTGACCCCATGGACCAGAGCACACCAGGCACTCCTGTCTTCCACTGCCTCCCACAGTTTGGTCAAACTCATGCTGGGTGCTTCGAGAACACTATCCAACCATCTCGTTGGAGCCAGTGTGGTGTAGTGGTTAAGAGTGGTAGTCTCGTAATCTGGGGAACCGGATTCGCGTCTCTGCTCCTCCACATGCAGCTGCTGGGTGACCTTGGGCCAGTCACACTTCTCTGAAGTCGCTCAGCCCCACTCACCTCACAGAGTGTTTGTTGTGGGGGAGGAAGGGAAAGGAGAATGTTAGCTGCTTTGAGACTCCTTAAAGGGAGTGAAAGGCGGGATATCAAATCCAAACTCTTCTTCTTCTTCTTCTTCTTCTTCTTCTTCATCCTCGGTCGTCCCCTTCTCCTTGTGCCCTCCATCTTTCCCAACATCAGGGTCTTTTCCAGGGAGTCTTCTCTTCTCATGAGGTGGCCAAAGTATTGGAGCCTCAGCTTCAGGATCTGTCCTTCCAGTGAGCACTCAGGGCTGATTTCCTTAAGAATGGATAGGTTTTATCTTCTTGCAGCCCATGGGACTCTCAAGAGTCTCCTCCAGCACCATAATTCAAAAGCATCAATTCTTCGGCGATCAGCCTTCTTGATGGTCCAGCTCTCACTTCCATACATCTCTACTGGGAAAACCATAGCTTTCACTATACAGACCTTTGTTGGCAAGGTGATGTCTCTGCTTTTTAAGATGCTGTCTTTTTAAGATGCTTTTTAAGATGCTGTCTTTTTAAGATGCTTTTTAAGATGCTGTCATTGCACAGGTATATGCCTATTGAAATAAGAAAAGGGGCAGGGAGGAATAGGAAGGTGAAGCTCCTGCTGCCGCCTTCATTATGGTGACCTTGTATCCTACTTAATAGATGCCAGTCTTCTGTGTGAAGGGCTGTTAGAAGTTGGAGGAAGTCCTCTTTTTGAAGGGCTGGGTCTGATCAAAGTCTGGGAAAGATAAAGATGATGACTAATAATAGTACCAATACCCATCATCTGAAGATCACAGTTTACAACATAAAAATACAAATCCTAAGAGGGGAGAGCAGGAGGGACCTTGAAGTCGCCCATCGACTGTTGGCAGCACTCAGCAGCAAGCTGTCCGTTTCAGTTTCTCTGTTTCTCATCCCCCCCCCCATTGTTTGTCCTCTTCTCCACACTTACCATGTAGGTTTGCGACGGAAACAAAAACCCTCGTGAAAATTTGTCAGCGTTTTTGTGTGAATTTTCCCTACCCTACACATTTTTTGTATGCCGTAGCATAATGTGTTTTGTATGACACATTTAATCAATATATGCATTTTAAATATATAAGATATATTAATATATGCATTTTTTCTGGAAATGTCACTGGGCTGGAGAAGTGCAAATTTCGAAGGACTGCTGTGCTCCTCTTCGCATATTGTTTTGGAGAGTGAGAATTAGGTAATTTCGCTTTTAGATGCAAGGCGATGCAAATGCCTCCACCATCTACCTTAAGCACATTTTTTTTTAAAGAAAAGAAAAGTATGTTCAATGTGCCATGCAGTTTGGCCTTCAGCGATCGGTGCCAATGATTCAAAATTATACAACAGAGCTAGAAGAATTTCAGACCCTTTGAGGCCTTGCCCTGTTCATTAATCAACACTGCACTTGCTTTCCTTTGCTAATAATGCGTAGGAAATTCATTTTTATTAGCCATCTGCCTTGTCTTGCACTCCCAGCAGTATTTTCTTCAGATTTTTAACTTTAAAAACACTCCCACCCTACACATCTTGGTGTTTCACTTGTCTGGATGCTGCAGAAATCTTATATTGATCACTATCCAGGGAAGTGTAAGGCTGGGGTTTTTGTTTGTTTGTTTGTTTATTATTTCTTTACTTAATATTTCATATATAAAAATTAATTTCTGCAACTAAAAACCAGGACACCTGGAAAGTTATTGAGCTTTTAAAGATTTTTTTTATTGTCTTGCCAGGGCAAAGTGCCACATTTCGGAAATCCCCCAGACATCAATTCTACTTTTGAAATCCCTGTAATGTCCAGGAAAATCCGGACATATGGCAGCCCTAGCAACATGCTTTGTGCCTGCATTGAGGGATTTCACTTCTCCCTTTCCTGCAGCAGCCAGCTACGGATCCTGACATATCCCTTAAAAGAGTTCAGAATTGGGGATTCAGGTGCTTGGCACAGCTGCAACGAACACTCTGAACCCCAGCTGATACTTGGAATCGTGTTCTAGCTGAGTTAACAATCAATAAGATTTGAATAGATCCCCCGCTGAACATCAAACGCACAGTCTCCTTAAAAAATGCACCAGTGGCTTGTTCTCAGAGCATCTCTCATGTACTTTTTGAGTGCTGTATGTGGGCGGATTTTAATTCCAAGCTGTTGTAATTATATACTTGTCTGTGTATGTAGCAGATAGTCTATTCCAAACCTTATTGGCTGGATCTGTGCTCTAATTTGATTGAAATTTCACAAAGTCAGGGTTGACATCCTTTGGACTTTTAGAATACCTATTCTGCACAGGGGGACCACAAATTGTTTTTCTTCCTTCTCTTTCATCTCAGCAGGAGTTGCTTGTCCTGGCCCCTGGAATGTTAACTGAACTTCCTGGTGCCCTCTAATGTCAAATAATTGCAGAAGCCATGTCCATTGTCAGAGACTAGGTATACACTAAGGTGTTGCTGGATGTGTGGATCAGTGTTTCCTGGTGCACATTTGTGCACCTTTAACGCCACACATGTGTGCTTTCAGTTTTATGCCTTTGAAATCTTTCTTGGCGTTTCCCATCCACACAAGTATGTAAAAAAAAAGGTAAAGGTAAAGGACCCTGGGACGGTTAAGTCCAGTCAAAGGTGACTATGTGGCTGCGGCGCTCATCTCGCTTTCAGCATCAACACCCTGAGAGGGTCTTGTTTCTCCCATAGCCACAGCCTTGGACGCCACCAGAAATTTGGCATGGTTCTGTCTCTCCCAGCTGCCCAGTCTGCAGCCTTCCAGCTCACATAAGTCAACTCCCAACTCTAGTACAGTGGTACCTCTGGTTACGTACTTAATTCGTTCCGGAGGTCCGTTCTTAACCTGAAACTGTTCTTAACCTGAAGCACCACTTTAGCTAATGGGGCTTCCCGCTGCCGCCGCGCCGCCACTGCACGATTTCTGTTCTCATCCTGAAGCAAAGTTCTTAACCCGAGGTACTATTTCTGGGTTAGTGGAGTTTGTAACCTGAAGCATATGTAACCTGAAGCGTATTTAACCCAAGGTACCACTGTATTTGTCTTTTTAACTACCAGCAAACAGAGCCATTTCTTTTGTTACCTTAATGGCCCGTACTTAAAGGGTCATTACCAAGAAAAATGTCTGGTGATTTCAAAACTTTGCATCCTTGCTTAGATTTTAACACTAGCTGGATCTGGGTATTTGAAGGTACTCGGGCACACAACCTACCCTGCTCCCCAAAATTATAAAATAGTTTATATCCATGACATGAAACTGAAATTCAGCTGTGGTGCTCCAGCTGATTTAATGGTCAGACTTGCTGAATATTAAAGAGCTGCTCTTGCCTTTGTTGACAAAGCGTGATAGGCAGTTTGTCCCATGAAGTACAGTCGTCCCTTGGTTCTCAAACAGAATCTGTTTGAAAACCAAGGCACAGTTTCCAGTTGGCTGCAGGAGCTTCCTGCACTCGACCGGAAGCCGTGGAAGCCGTGTTGGACGTTCGAGTTGCAAGGCGAACCAAGGTATGACTGTACAGAATTTAGGCAAAACAAAGTCACACTTTTGAAATGGAGGGTCTGTTCTGCTGCAGAATTCTTCTTTGTTATTATCCTGTGTTTGATTTGCACTTTCTGAATGACTGGATCAGTCCCAGATGTAACCAACCCCATCCTCATCCTTGAAGTCCCTCCATGGGGAATAATGCATCCAATTAATCTGTGAATAATCAGCTAGACTGAAATCGAAAGGGTACCAGCAGCCTACAGCATGTGCATGGGGTAAGAGAGAACTAATATTTCACCAGAGAGGCACCATAGCTCAGTTCTGCTCTGCATCCAGTCCAAGGTTCAATTCCCGGCATATCCAGCTAAAAGGATTAGGTAGCAGCCTAGCAGATGGCAAGAAAGAGACTCCAGAGAGCTGCCGATGGTCTGATTAAATAAATCTGACCTGGTATAAGGAAGCTTCCTATGTTCCACTAAATAAAATCTTTTTTATGTGCAAGTCATCAAAACCAAGCATGTACCTCCCCACCCACCCCACCAATTTCTTTATTTTGAAATCCTTCATCTTTACTGAACACACGTCATATTTCTTCCCAGGGCAGTTAGTTATTTGACAGATTCCAAGTCCATAAAAAAACCACTGCATGGTAATGACATTGTGTCAAGTTTAATAGATAATCCATGAAAACAGATTGTGTTGAAACACACTGTCTCCGTGCACATGGCAGCTTTAAGCCTTAGGGGAAGTTTTAAGATTTATTATCAGTGTTATTCTTGCTTAAAGGAAGTTGAATTAACTGATATCCGTTCATCTCTTTATGCTAATAGGGTAGAGCACAATTGTATGGATAATTCCTCCAAGTCATCCTGTTGTGTTCAGTGGTGCTTACTCCCAAGTAAACGTACATAGGGTTGCAGCCTGAGGGTGTGTTATTGCGAATCTCATTACAACCGAAATTATAGTGAAGGAAATTACTGGGTTATCATTAGTTCTGCATTATGGTAGGCATATGTGTGGGAAGAACTTTGACCAAAAGCTCCTCCAGATGATCCATTTATTAAGCCTTCATCCTGATTTGTTGCACAAAGCTTATGGGAAGGTTAGACTATATTGGGTCTTTGCAAAACATTTACTCTCATTTGATTTGGGAGAGATTATATGACAATGATCATTCATCCTACATTCATCTTGATTTGCTTCTGTGATGTTCAAATGTCTTCCTATTAATCATT